ATGACAGAAAATTGGCGAATTATGGGAAAATCATATTGCAGAGGTCTGCGGCATGGTGTTTTAACCCCAAATTTGTCACCTAATTTTAAAATCTTCAACATATTGAGGAACACATGGGTCGGCAATAATATGCATGGTTTACGAAAAATGAGACCAGGTCGCTTAGTATCATGATACCACGATCGCATGGTACTACATTTGCATATATACACGCCATCGTATAAAATACGAATTTAAGATAATCAGATTTACATACTTGGTTCACCGTAGAGAAGCACTGACAGACTGACAGACAGACAGATCCTTGCACGAGATTTAGGGTGAGTAGAATGAGAAGGATTGATAGTCGATAAACACAATGCAGAATATACGCACAACAAATCACTGATTTGAAACTGTCAAATGTTGTTTATGAAATACTAGTAGTTCAAAATATATCATGTATATTTGTATTACGGGTTAAGGTAGGCTTGGTGTGTGTATATAGGTTGCAAGGTGTGGTATTTGTCTAGAAAAAATGTGTCATCTCAACCCACAATGGCAAACAACTTGACAACGCAGCGAATTCTTGTAGTCCCATGTCTTTCCCTTAAGTTTGTTTGCAGATTAAAACTATCAGTTCAGCATTTTTAATCCGAAAACGGAATGGATTTTGTTCAAACTTATTACATACGTTGGACACTATGGTATCTTGATGCACGTTATTTTGTTTTTCAGATGGGATTTAAAATGGCCGATTGTCGACTATTTTGTTTTAATGAATGCAGTTCTAGTCCCATATCTCTGATATGCTTTGATGATTATCTTCAAATTTTATATATTCATTATACCTCAAGCTGTAGATATACAGATGTATTCAAAATAGCCAACTGGTGGTTGGTGTTTTCTTTATTGCTGTTTCAGAGCAATATCTCTCATTATGGGCAAGTACTCGTTTGACGACTAGATACAAGATGTCAATCAGTTTAATGTTTAAAAAATCACCATAATTAAGGTAGCGGGACTATTATTTGCATACTTGTTTTCATCTTCTAATTGTGACTAAATGACTACAAA